ACTGGGGAGTTCAGTCCATTGATATTTAAGGTTATTATTGAAAGATGTGTATTGGTTGTAGTCATTTTGATTGCTGTGTGTTCTCTGTCTAATTTTGCATTTCCTTGATTATACCTTTATTTATTTTTTATTTGTTACCCTGGGGTATAGTTGTTTCTCTCTCTGCTCTCTGTATTGCTTCAAGTATTCTTTGAAGGGCTGGCTTTGTGAACATGTATTCTTTCAGGCTATTCATGTCATGGAAGAATTTCCTTTCCCCCTCAATTATAATAGACATTTTTGCTGGGTAAAGTATTCTGGGCTGGCATCTATTGTCATGTACAACTGGAAATACCTTGGTCCAGGCTCTTCTGGCTTTCATAGTTTCCATTGATAAGTCAGCTGTAATTCTGATAGGCTTTCCTTTGTGTGCGATTTGATTTTCTTTTGCTTCTTTCAGTATTCTCTCTTTGTTCTGGACAGTTATTACTATGATATGTCATGGGGAGTTTCCTTTCTGATCCTATCTATTTGGTGTTCCTATGTGCTTCCTGTATTTGTGTGGGGATGTCTTTCCTTAATTCTCTTCTAAAATCCTGTTTAAGATTTGGTCAACATCATTAACCTGAAATTCTTCTCCTTCCTTGTGAAATTCTTCTTTTCCTATGATCTGTAGTTTCAGTCTTTTCACGGTGTCCCACATCTCTTGCATATTCCATTCCTATGGTTTTTAAAATTTTCCATAATCTTTGCTTGAGTGGTCCAATTCTTCACCTTTATCCTCCAGTGTTGATATTCTGTTTTCCATTTCATTCATTCTACTGATGAGACTTTCCCTTGTTGTTTCAAGTTGGCTTATTGAGTTTTGCACTTCCTTCTTCATTTCTGCCTGAGTTTTCTTCAATGTTTCTATCTCTTTTGTGAATTCATTCAGAAGTTTATCCCTATCTTCTTTTAGCTCTTTGATTTGTTTGTTTGTGTGTTCTTTAAATTTGCTGAAATCCTTCATCATGTTTATGATTGTTTTTTTAAATTCAGTGTCCTGGGTTATCTCGAAGGAATTGGTGGAATTTGGTGGGGACATAGTGTTTTGGCTTTCCATTTTATTATTCTTTCATTGTGATTTTGGCATGTGAATTTCTTTTGTTTATGATTCTGATATGTGAATTAATTTTGTATTGTTTGTATTGTCAGGGTGCCTAGATCCTTTCTTTATTGGTTATGTAAAGCTGGTTGGTACAGGATTCAGGTTCTCTCAGGTTTAATTTTGAGGGAACTGATAGCTTCAGATCAGCTCTTCAGGAGTACCCACAGAAGCCCAATTCAGATTCCAGTCAGGTACACTCAGGCTTCCTTTACCATGTAGAGGCACAGTCTAGGTGCTCTCAGGCAGTCCACCCTCTCAGGTTATCTGCTAGGATCTCAGCCTTAGCCTACCAAAGCCAGACCTGATCTGGGATCTTGAAGGGGCCTCCTGAAATCCCAGGTAGGGCGAGGGCTATGGGGCATTTAGGGGAAGCTCACCACCCCCTGCAGGCAGGATCTGGGGGCTTTCAGGCAGTCTCCTGTGTTCTTTGGCCCTCTACCAGAGGGAGATCAGAGGGAGGCCAGATTTTGGCAGTCTCTGTTGGTCTGCTGAGGTCAGAACTGCTACACAGACAGAGGTTCTCACCTGCTGATTTCTATCTTACATCTGTTCCCCCAGAAACTCAGGTTGCAGCATATAACCGAGTCTACAGATTATGCAGGTCAGGAAGGTACCTACAGGAACAGCAGAGCTAGGGCAGCCATCTGGAAATGACAACCAGGGACCTGGCAGTGTTCTTGCCATTGGATAGTGCTGAGCTTCTCAGTCAGTAGCACTGTACTGGGTGGCAGTGCTTTCATTCTGTTCCAGTCCTCAATTTAAGTGGATATAGGCATTCACAGCTGGTATCCGACCTTGATAATGACCAACAACAGCATCCCAGGAGAAGTACTTCACATACTGACATCCTACCTCTGCTGAGAGCCATCCTCAACTTTCCTCCTCTTCATCCCTCAGTTGAAAGTACCCACTCCCTCTCTGAACTCTTTTGTTCTCAGCATTTGGTTATCATGACCAACAACTATTGAATAAAACTTGCTGTGAGCCTTCTGCATTGCCAGCACTGCAGGGACAGAAAGAACAGAGGTAGAAAGTAGAAAGCTTACAGTGTAGATCAGAGTGATAAGCACAATTAGAATGTATAGAACATACCGTGGTCAATGATAAGATAGAGGTGAGTCTGAGAGGCACGTATGAGGGCCACCTAGCCCAGGCTTGGGGATAAGGGGTTACGACAACAAACAGGGGCAGTCAGCTACATTTCTCAGAGTTAATGAGGTGTATTAGTTTCCTATGGCTGCTTTAACAAATTACTACAAACTCAGTGACTTCAAACACACAAATTGCTCGCATATATATAGCTTTGGCAGTCAGATATTCCAAATCAGTTTTACTAAGTTAAAATCAAGATGTTACGAGACTGGTTCCTTCTAGAAGTTCTATGGAAGAAGAAATTTCCTTTTATTCCCCCGTAGCTTTTTGAAGCCAGACACATCCCTTGAGTAGTGGTTCTTTATCCTCTCTTTAAAGCTTACAGTGCAGTATTCTTTCTTTCTGTCTTTGCATCTTTTTTTGCCTTACTAGGGTGCTTGTTTGGCACTGAGCTCAGCCAGGTAATTGAGGCATATACTGGAACCTTATGGAGAGTCTTACTTTAATCAGATCCTCAGAATCCCTTTTACCACGGAAGATAAGGTACATAAATCCTGGGGCTTGGGATGTAGACACAATCAGAGTGGGTCATTCCTTAACTTCTGACACCAGCAACCACACCCAGGATAGCATTCTAGGCAAAAAGAAGGAAAGATTCATTGTTATCTGGGCAGCTGCAGGTCTTTCATATAGTGGAACCATCAGCCTCAGGAGAGCAATGCCAATGGATAAGGCTAGAGATGCAGAGGAACTGGCTTACTCACTAGTTTTAAACTTGATTTAAAGCTATTTATATTAGTGCCTCATCTCCTCATTTGTCCATAATCACCTTGATCAAAATGAGGGTCAATGTCTTTGTGTGTTTGTGTGTGTGTGACACTGGCCGTTAAATCTAGAGCTTCATACAAGCTGGGCAAGTGCTATGCCACCGAACTGTATCCCAGCCCAAGGCATAGCACAGACAATCTTTGAACTTGCAATTCTCCTTACTTGTGCTCTTCAACATTGCCTAACTGTGCGTGTACCATCAAGGCCAGCCCAGTGTCTCTTTGATTCCACCAGTCATAGCTTAGTCTATGACAAGATGTAGCATATGTATGTAACATTAACCAAAGCCAGCTTGGCTAGGACACTGTGGTGGCCAAGTGCTTTAAGCAGACATCTACAGGCACTTGAGCCTAGCGGGTGTATTTCTGAGTGCTTTCATCTTGGCAACGTGACTGGTTGTCTTGCAGCTGACTGGGCAAAAACATTTCTCAGCCAGTAGTGTGGGTGGGGAACAGGCTAGAGAAAGCTTTAAGGGCCACACAAAGATTGAACGTGATACTAGTTACAGCTGGAGGATGGGTGGGTCCACAACACCTCACTGTATCTTCTTACTGGGGATGTTTACCTAATTTATTCTTTAAGAAGTTTGTGCGAGCAGAGGTGAGGTACACATAGCATCATAGGAAACTCACCAATTTCAGAAACCCCTAGCAACTATTGGGTTCAAATCAGGAGTAGGAAGCATGAAGCTTGTGAGATGGGCTCCTTCAGCAACTTAGCAAGAGCTGCAAACCTCTGTGCACCATGAGGATCAGTCCTTACCTACTAACAAAAACATTATTTCCTTAGGAATTAGACTGCTTTCCAATATTTTGTGCAATGCATGTCAAAATGGCATGCCCTCTAGAATTCTTAGGACTCACTGATAGAATTCCTTATTGAAGCAATTTTCTCTCTGATGTCCATTTTAACAGACACTGAAGGATGCCAGCGACAATGCCCGCAAGGACTTCCACCGTGAGGCTGAGCTGCTGACCAATCTCCAGCATGAGCACATTGTCAAGTTCTATGGTGTCTGCGTGGAGGGTGACCCGCTCATCATGGTCTTCGAGTACATGAAGCACGGGGACCTCAATAAGTTCCTTAGGTACAGCAAAGGATGGTGTCAAAGCTGAACTTGGGGGGAGTAGACCTTTACTGCTTAGATGGCCTGGAGGCGAGGACAGGACGTTACTAGGAATGGTCACGGGCGCCCCAGGCTTTTCTTAGAGCATTCTTTGGTGATCACTACATTCACACATGCCAGAGGAATGTGCAGAGGGAAAAGAAGATCATCTTTTTCTTTATTTTTTTCCTGTCACTCCACATAACATGATGTTAATGATTTAACCTTCATTCACTGAGCTTTTGTTACATTAAGAACTTTGTGATTCCACTTTGGAGACAGGTCTTCGGGTCTTAGAGAGTATGGAAGTTTGCCAAGTGGATGAAAGTAAAATATTACCTAAGCCCAAGGAAACAGCACTACTGTACTAAATTAACACCCTGAAAGGTGTAGTGGGGTCAGAGTGAAGAGCCTGGGGTTGCCAGGCCGTGACAGGAAGCAGGGGAAGGAAGTAGGAGAGCGGCTTGTAGGATCTGAGGCTGCAAAGATATTGTGTAGAGTTAATTCTCAGGTTCCAGGGTCTACAGTGGCATGAACAGGACCCAAAGGCCACAAGCTATGAGTCAGATAGACACCAGGGGATATAGCAGACACCAAATGATGTCTTCATTTGCATTAGGCATTGACACACATGAAGGTGGATCTTGTATGTAAGATGATCAACTTTACATGTAAGGTAACCAGAGAGCCCAGCAGAGACAGTCATGAGAACATGGTTCTCTTTCTTCCCCTTCATCAGCTGCACATGGCTACTGAGGGGATTTTCAGCCCACTTTGCTCAGTGACCTCTACCACGTTACTTAGTACTTAGGATTCTAACATGCTATTTTATATAAACATTGACTGGCTCTCCTCTTTGAAAGACCAGCTTGCATGTTTCATGTGATACTTGGAGAGTGTAACTTTGGTAGAAACGAAAGATTCCAGAAGCAAACTGGCCACCTTCCTTTGTTGACCTTGCTTTAAGGTGAACCTGAAAGACTAACATAAGGACTGCTGTGAGGAAAGTTCCAGTAAAAAATGTCACCATGACCCCCTCTATCTGCCACATTCTCCTCTTCATTCTGGTTCAGGGATCCAAAAGCCCTGGGAGTAGCTTCTTTTTGTCATGGCCACCTCTATTCCTCTCCATCACCCTCCCATGTTGCAGAGAGCTTCACACAGAAGTCAGCCCCAGTTGGCTTCATGTTGGTCATGACTGTGAGACTGGCAGGAGAGAGCACACTGCTGCCTTCAGGACGGGCAGCACAGGCCTGTGCTATCTGGATCATGGTCACCGTCTCTAGCTTTGCACATGCACATGCAGTTCAGTTTTTGCCCGAGATGGATCCCATTCTGTTTTTCCCATGACCAGATGTGTGAGGGGATGTTGCGTGAGATGAGGAGTGCATGGAAAATGTGTGGTATTGAGAGACAATCCTAATGCATTATCCTATGCCAGCGCAGTTCTTACTGCAGGTGGCAAGGGATGGCAGCTTTTAGACTTTGTCTCATCGTAGCTAGAGTGAAAGGAAGAAAACATACTGACTTTGGTTAGGGCTAGTTGTGCCTAGGAGAAACATTTTCCTCATGCCTCAAGCTCTTTTCCTAATCAAAATTGTCCTTTCTAGAAACTAATGTGCAATAATTCTACATGTGATTTTAGCTCTGTCAGCCAGGTCTTGCCTTCTTCCTGCCCTGAAGGGCCCTGAGCCTGGTTTTGCTTTGGCATCCTGCAAAGGGCATGGAGCACTTGGAAACTCACCCTACTTTATTCCAGAATTTGCTAAACTCTGAAGCAGAGTTCTGCATGCCAAGAAGCAGACTCAGGTGCAGTGATGCGTTGCAAGTACAGGCTGTCCTCTTTCTGGGAGGAAACCTGGAACACAGCCGCCATGAAAGGTCCCCAAGCATCTTTGGCAAGTGAGAACACATACAGAGCACAAGGTGGTCAGGTCCTGTGTTAGATTGGGCGGGGGGTGATGAGGGGAAGATTTCATTTCAGAGTTTTGCAGTTTTTCCCCATAGAATCTCTCCAGAGTTCACCTCAAATTAGGAGAAAAAAAGAACATTCTTCAAGCAGTACCAGATAATATTATTTCTAAGCATTTAAGATATTTTAACTTGGGGCTGGAGAGTTGGCTTAGTGGTTAAAAGGACTTTGCTCTTACAGAGGACCTGGGTTTGATTCCGAACACCCACATGACACTAACAACTATCTGTAACTCCAGCTCCAGGGGAATCTGATGCCCTCTTCTGACCTCCGTGGGTATTGCATGACACAGGTGCACTTACACTTACATATATGCATGCAGGTGATACACTCATACATACAAAATAAAAATAATAAAATATTTTTAAAAGGTATTTTAACTTATGTAAACCAAATAATATTTTAAAAATTAAATTTAAAAGATAAATTTAAAGATCATTATGATCTCTTCTGTGGTACAATTGAAGAAACCAAGTCATACAGCAGGTGACAGAGTCAGCGCTCAAACTCTCAGACTTATCGACCCCTGGGCAGTCCTTCCTGTTCAAATGGCTGTTAACAAACTCAGTGGAATATGGTTAAGGATGTGGGAGGAGTGGGGACAGTGTGTGAGAAGGTTAACTTTAAGTGATCACCATAGGGTAACAATGGTTGATAGCAGTTGCAAATTTTAAAATAGCTAGTAGAGAAGATTTTGAATGTTACCAACATAAGGAAATGATAAATACTTAAGATGATGGATATGCCAATTATTCTGGTCTAATCATACCTTATATACTGTACATATGCCTTAAAATATCACACTCTATCACATAAATATGCATAACTATGGTATCAATTTTTAATTAAATTAAAAAAAAAAACTTGCTTTAAAGAATTAGGAAGCTAGAGGTGTAGCTCCTTTAGGTAAAGTGCTTGCCAAGTATGCACAAGGCCCCGAGTTTGATCCCTAGCATTGAATATATA